CCTGCAAATATCCCCACATATGGGATTACCAGCTGCCACTTCACTGCAATAGAGACTTCTTATGACAGCAGCCCTTTTGTACCCGTATCCCCTGGCGGTTTCCCTTTAAAAATGTTCAATGCTCAGAATAAATAGATTTTCTGCTCACAGTACGTTCTGAATGTATGAGTATTCACGAACGTGTTGGCCTATGTGTATATAAGGGCTTTTGGGATGCTTGTGCTGAAGCCATTTGGTTCTTGAGAGTTTCGTAAAGCCCCTGTGCCGAAGAACATGTGGGGTTATTAATCACTTTGTCACTCTGTCGCAGGGAACTAAAGCCCCTCTACTCTTTGCATAAGCGCCTCAAAAACCTGTCTCTTCTGTTTCTTTGGCAGAAATTCCTCCCGGCTACCCGTACCAATCGATAACGGCACCTTTCGGCAGCCATTACCCCTACCTCCTCCAGCCGGCTGCTGCCGCAGATGCTGACGGCCTGGCGCCAGATGTACCGTTGCCGGCTGAGACCTCCGAACACTTGGCGACCGCCGCAGATGTCAAACCCCAGCACTTGTGTTCTCCAGTGGTTGTGGAGCCACTTCAGGCATCCAGAGAGCCAGAGTCCATGGAGGAGGGCGGCGCAGTGTTCAAAAAAGAGCCAAACCTGGAAGACAGCAAAGACGTCCTGAGCCAGGACAGCCTGAGACTTGCACCCATCGCCACCCAAGACTCTAGCTCCCCCACAGAGGCCGAAGCCCACCCTAGTGACAAAGCCACACCATCGCCAGAGGAGGAATCAGATGAGGAAGATAGGGAGGCTGTCAAAATCGAAGCTGCCGCCTCCAGCCATCCAAGACTGTACAAAACATCTATGCTGGACTCTGAGAGAACCACAAGAGCAGAAACCGCAGAGGCCTCGATTGGTCTGGTAGACCAAGTCTACAAATCCTCATCTAGTTACACGGACGCACACCATGTGGTTTGTGACATCCAACCAGCAAAACCGCCCTCAGATCTCACTGATAGCCTGAACCCAGTAGACCTCAGAGATCCTGTCCCGGACACTCCACACCTGGAGTCCAAACTTGACAATCCTTTCCTGCCTAACAGCAGCCCTCCTCACCTTCAGCCCTCTTCCGCACTGGTGGCCATCCTGCCTGAAGACCCCATGGCAGGCATGTTTGCCCTGGTCACAGCCAGCGAGCTTCCGCAGGCTGGAGCGGTGTCCGTCCTGGCAGATGCGTGTAGCTCTAGATCTGAGCTCTGCATGGGCGTCAGTCCCCTAGAGTCCACTGCTCTGGAAGGCATGGCCCTGCTCAGCCAGATGGCAGAGCTGGAGATGCAGAGGCAACCCAGAGATGACACACAGGGTGAGTCTCGTTTCAGAGAGAGGAAGGGAAATCTGAAGGATGTGGGACTTGATCTAGCGTGCTCCAACAGTTCTCAGGGAAGCGTGGTGATTGGGGAGAGAGATTTGCTTGCTGTAATGTGCTGAAACAAGCTCAGGAATTGTTTCAGCTCTAGTGAATATATTCAGAATTTGCTGGAGTGTTGAACAGTGTGCTTGTGCTGCTTGTTCTTCAAGCAGCTTTTAGAGTAAAAACTTGCGTTTAAGGAATAAGTAAATGCAACTGTCTGGTCTTTTGGATGTATCTGGATGTCAACTCCATTAATGCAGTCTAACACAAGAAACACCCATATATACTGATGTATTGGAGAATGCAGGGCTGCCCCGTGCTCCCTAGAGGTAATTAATGTTGCTATCGATCGTGTGTTTGTGTGTGCAGCTGTAATGCTCTGTGGACTGGAGAGTCTGCTGGAAGTTGGCAGACAGGTCCTCCTGGAGGCCATTGAGTGTCAACCTCAGGTTATCATCCGCCTCCCCCGAGAGCTCAACCCTAATAAGAAATACAGCTGGAGACAGAAGAAAGATGAACCTGTATGCTTGCCTTTTTTATTACTCTTTTTATTTTCTTCTCCCTCTTATAAACCTCTGCGTAAGAGGGCTTTTTTTGCTCTCAGAATGGTGATTCTAAAAGCTTTGTCAATAAAATACAAGCAATGTTAAAATTTTTAAATTTGTCATGTTTACAAATTCCAGTAGCATTTGAATTGCTTACTTTTTAACAATGTTTACAAATGGTGGCATTTGAATTTTTGTACATTTGAGCAGTGTTTACAAATTCCAGTGGCATTTACATTGTTTTAACTGTGTTTACATCTAGTGGTGTTTGATGTTTTAACTTCTAAGCAGTGCTTACCATTTCCAGTGGCATTTAAATGTTTACGTTTTGACAGGTTACAGCTAGTGGTATTTAATGTTTTAACATTTAAGCAGTGTTTACAAATTCCAGTGGAATTAAATGTTTGTTTTCACCGTTTAAAGCTAGTGGTATTTAATGTTTTAACATTTAAGCGGTGTTTATAAATTTTTTTTTTTTTTGTACGTTTTAACTGCGTTTTCAGTTAGAGGCATTTGTAGTTTTTACATTTAAATGCAGTTAAAATGCAAAATCCAACGCCATTTTAATTTTTACATTTAGCAGTGTTTACTTTTTTTCAGACATTTGGCATAGCTAATAATACTTTTGTTGCTGCTTAGAGTACTGGCTATGGAAGTCCAACCACAGACGGTAATCTTGTTTTCCTCTCTTAGATGTTCTCCAAATCCTCTTTGGAGGGAATGGACACCGTAGAAGTGGACTACCGTGTGAGACTCGCTGAGCTTCAGCAACATTACAAAGAAAAGCAAAGAGAGCTGGTCAAACTGCAGAGGCGGAGAGACAAAGAGTGAGTCTCCCAGTGAACATTACCTCCCTTTACACCACTTCATTAAGACCAGTAATGCAAATCTATCTAGTTTAATCCCTCTAACAAACAATCTGCTATTTGTGATCCCTGTGATTCACAGAGATAAACGTCAGCAGCTGCAACAACAACAACAACAACAACAGATCCAGCAGCAGGAGAAGAACAGAAGTTTAGCCCGCAGGGGCCCGGGACGTCCCCGAAAGAGGAAACATGGCCTATGCGCACTGTCTCCACCCTCCAGCAAGCTGGATTCGAAGTGTGCGAAGTGAGTGTGTTGCTCAGGCACCGATAAGGCCCAGCTGTGCTCCACACGGCCTGCCCTCCAGCTGAACGCTCTGTTGTTTTGCAGGTTGGGCAGAAGTGTGCTTTACTCAGAGATTTACTCTGAGACCAGGGAGGTGCTGAGGAAGCGCTTTCGGGCCTCTAACCGAGATGAGGAGGAGGAAGAGAGTGCGTTTAGATTGAAGAAGAAAAAAAAGAGCTGGAGCGAGCAGGAGGCATCTTCAAGCTTCTCTCACGAGGTTGGTCTCTGTTATACTGGAGTGGATTTCTAGCTCCTAAATATCTGAACATTTTTGCTTTTGTAGAACATGCATGTTGTATCAAATAAAATTCATTTATTGCTTTTATCTCTTTTAACAGGCACCTAAAATGGCTGTGAAGAAGAGCCGAGTGAGCGAGCAGGAGCAGTTGGCATCCAAACTCGACAAGGCCTTGTCACTCACTAAGCTCAGTAAACTCAGCAAGCCCTCTTGTAAGTTCATAGACGGTTCCTTGGCGAAGTCCAGGGCTAGTTCTGGAAGCAGAGTATCCATGCTCACCGATATAGACATGAGAGTCAAGATGGGAAAATCCAGCCTTTCGAAAGATCTCAGCATCTTTCACAAGTGTTTCAAAGGAGGTAAAAGCAAAATGGTAGCCAAAACTAAGCCTTCAGGTCCATGCCTTAAGGGAAAGGGCCAGCGGAAAGCACCTTATTCTCCAATGAGGTCAGAAATCAGCAGCTATTCTAACAGTAAGTCAGACTTTTTGTAAGTGTAATTTTTTGTTGTTGTTGTTGCCGCCAGTGTTTTGTTTCTAATGTAAACCGGTTACAAGATCCCCAGGGGCTTTTCCCTTCTAAATATGTATTTTTTTCGTCTTCGATAATGGAGAGTTTTTGTTGATAACTAATCTACCATTATGTGTTTAAGGTAATATCTGTAATAAATTACTGTGGGCTGCATTTAGATGTTACTATTTAGGAGCAAGGCAGTACGAGTAATTTTATACCACAGTAATGGTATTAATCAAGTTTTTTTAGGATTTTTTTGTTACATAAAATTAATACAAATGCTGTCCTAATATATAAATGTACTAATTACCAGTTAATTTTTTTTTAAATGCAGTAAAAACAGTAATATTGAGAAATATTGTTTTAGTTTTAAAAGAGCTGTTTTCTATTTTAATATATTTTAAAATGTAATTTATTTTTGATGGCAATGCTGAATTTTCAGCTGCCATTGCTCCAGTCTTCCGGGTCATAATAAATAATAGTCTAGTATAATTGTTTTGAATCAGTTTTTAGTTTATCGTGCTTTTGGACCTCCATCCTGAGTGAAATCTGTTTTGATTTGTACCAGACACAGATTCAGAAGAGGACGATTCCCTGAAGGATGGCTGGCCTCCCAGCTCCATGTTGGGGAGAACAGGGTCACGTCCACAGCTCCTCGGCCTGTGCAGCACTCCATCCAAGAAAAAGCGCTCATCATCCAAGAGAGCCTCTTCATCTTCGTTGTTGTTGTTGTTGCCGCCAGTGTTTTGTTTCTAATGTAAACCGGTTACAAGATCCCCAGGGGCTTTTCCCTTCTAAATATGTATTTTTTTCGTCTTCGATAATGGAGAGTTTTTGTTGATAACTAATCTACCATTATGTGTTTAAGGTAATATCTGTAATAAATTACTGTGGGCTGCATTTAGATGTTACTATTTAGGAGCAAGGCAGTACGAGTAATTTTATACCACAGTAATGGTATTAATCAAGTTTTTTTAGGATTTTTTTGTTACATAAAATTAATACAAATGCTGTCCTAATATATAAATGTACTAATTACCAGTTAATTTTTTTTTAAATGCAGTAAAAACAGTAATATTGAGAAATATTGTTTTAGTTTTAAAAGAGCTGTTTTCTATTTTAATATATTTTAAAATGTAATTTATTTTTGATGGCAATGCTGAATTTTCAGCTGCCATTGCTCCAGTCTTCAGTGTCACATGATCCTTCAGAAATCCTTCTAATATACTGATTTGCTGCTCGAGAAACATTTCTTATGTTAAAAACTTGCTGCTTAATACTTTTGTGGAAACTGTGATACATTTTTCCAGGATTCTTTGATGAATAGAAAGTTCAAAAGAACGGCATTTACTTGAAATAGAGCTTTTTTGTAACATTACAAATGTCTGTACTGTCACTTTTGGTCAATTTAAGCATCCTTGATTAATAAAAGTATTATGCATTAGTCAAAAAATATCTTACTGACCACAAACAGTGTACAATGGGATATTCAGCATGGGTCACAAAATGTGCACTTGGATTG